CAACTTGGCTGGTGTTCTGAATTTTTTTCAGATAAATTGGAGATAACTTGTTGAGCAGGAGAAAGATGATGAAGAAGGAAGAAAGCTGAAGGAAATTTGGAATTTGGGGAAATGAAAACTGATAGATCCACATGAAAAGGGTGTCTGGCAAAAAGCAAGTATTTTCAAGGAGCACCCGTCTACACAAGTGAGTGGAGTTGTATCGATTGTTGATTATTGATTGATTGCCAGCAATACTTAGTAGCCTGATTTTGTGGAAATGACCCACTATAACTGCAAAGCACCATGATGAGATAACAAAGGATAAAAGTGCAAAGCACGAGTCTAAGTGTGGACCGTCAGATCTGAAATTCATAAGAAAAAAAAATAAATCTCAACACAGTGGGAACACTGAACATACTGAAACCAAACTGTCAAAGAGAAGTTTGTTGTCAGAGAAATCTGGAATCTTGACAAAATTTCTGAAAATAACTCCTCCACTAGCCAGCACCAATACCTGAAATTCTACCTTATTATTTTTAAGAGAACTGTTAAAATAAAAATACAAGTGTGGAATATGCCATATAGTTTCCTTGAGTTTTAAGAGAGAAAAAAAAAAAAAGGAGGAGAAAAGAGAAGGGAAAAGCATGTCATCAGTATCCATTCTATTATTATAAGTTGTTAGCAAATTACTGGGGCACATTACCAATATGTATTCTAAGCAAAATATGGAGAACCAATTAAACTTGAGAGAAATGTGATCTATTATACATAATAAAATAGATAAACATTTCTTGGTCATTAGGAATAAATAAAAAACATTCACATAAAGGATCATAATTTTTATTAACATTTATGTAGTCAAACCAAGATTTAATCACTATTATGTAAAACCTATTAACATCTCCTATGATACCATACTTGGCTTATTTCCAACAGCCTCATGCATTTGCAAAGGTTTTAAATGTGCTCAAACACATTCCCAAGGGTTTTTTCCTTACTGTATCATTCTCTTCATATTCTTTTGGTAATCTTTTTGAGTTAATTATTACTTTCATTTGAACATGATGAAATGTGTAAGGAGTCACTTCAAACATTGGCACCACTAAGAGCATGGTCTTTCCCTTTACTTGAACTCAGAATTAGGAATTTTGGTTCTTAGGGGTTTTTTTTTGTTTTTTGTTTTTCATTTTTCTGGTCCAGTCCCAGAAGAAGTTTTCACTGTAGAAGTTATTTGCAGGCAGTCTTATGCTTTCTAGCAGTAGTCTACCATCGGGCCCTAGCTTCTCTAGGACACTGCACAGGATCAATTTAAATTATGTATTAGGCTAAGAGGCATTCTCTCAAATGAGTTCAAATGCATTTTATCTTTAGATAACCTACATGATATGTAAATATATGTATATATATACACATATATACATATATATACACATATATATACATATATATATATACATATATATATATATATATTTCTTAAACACAATGCCTCTGCTCCAAATAAATCAAGGTCAAAATAAATGAAGAGCTCAAGATAACTTCAGGTCCATTTGTCTAAGTCCTTGTGTTGTATAGATGAAAAGCAGCAGCCAGTTATGACAACAGGTGATGCATTCAAAGCAGTAGCCAAATTCGTAAACATTTTTCCATTTCTAAACCATCCTTAGAGAGAATCATACATGGGGTCACACCATTTGCACAGGAGTCCAGAAGAACAACCATGCCATCTGGATTTATGTCTTCCCCAGTAGAGAACTGGTAATTTTTGAAAGTAGCTAGAATGTGCTTGATTTGTTCCTCAGCTCCTGTCATAAAAGATTTTACTCTTTCTGGCCTTTGTTCTTTAAGTTTGCCTTTGATTGATTTCATGTAATCTTTGATGTACTTCTTGTAGGCACCTTTTGTGAAGCTGGTTTCCTGCAAGTGATGGTTCATGACAATAGCAACATCAGTGATTACTGTGCTTCCAGTACCTTTGCCCTCAGGGACTTCAGTGGAAGTATTTCCATCATCAGTAAATCATCAGTGTTATCCTCTGTCCTACTGATCATCTTCCCCTCTACCTCCAGGCACAATCCATCTCTGATTTCCCAAATCTTGTAGATGTCGGAAAACATCTCATCAAGGCTGAAGAAGTCCTAGTAGCTGATCATGAGGGCAGCAGGAGAGAGACCACTAAGGAGCTAATTTAGCCAGAGCCTAGAGCTCTGAGCTAGTGGTACAGCCTGAGCAGCACTGGCAGGGAGGAAGAAGTGAACAGAAAGCCACACTCCCAAATTTTAAATGTAAGAGTATAGGATCCTTCTCTAAGAACCACCTTCTGGTATGTTACCATTTCTTCTGCCCATCCTCCTTCCCTTGGGAGTCCAAGACTAAGACTTTGGAGTTCTTAGAGTAATAGAGAGAGGAATTAGGAAACCAGCAGAGTGAACTTGGATAAGGGCAAGATTTAGATTCTGGGGCTACAAATGAGCAGATTACTTATCAAATTCTCTTAGGAAGAAGAAGTTTAAGGAACTTCTTAAGGAAGTTTCTTTCTTAGCCATTATCTTCTAAACCTTCCCATGTTTCAAAGCATAATCTTCTGACGAGTCTATTTTTTGGCACTTCATTTCATCCTTACAAAGAAATTTTTGTTAATTGAAGCAGAGTTGACACATAATATTACATTAATTTCAGGTGTGCAACTTAGTGATTCCACAACTCTATATATTATGTTATGGTCACCACAAGTGTGGCTACCATCTGTCACCATACTTCCTATTACAATACCAGTGACTACATTCCCTATGGTATACCTTTCATACCTGTGTGACTTACTCATTACATAACTGGAAGCCTTTATCTCCCATTCCCTCTCACCCATTTTGCCCATCCTCCCTTTTCACCACTCACAAGCAACAACTTGCTCCTTATATTTATGGTTCTGTTTCTGCCCTTTTGTTGGTTTGTTTTGTTTTTTAGAGTCCACATATAAGTGAAATCATATGGTGTGTGTCTTTCTCTGACTCATTTCACTTACTATAATATGCTCTAGGTCCATCTATGTAGTCACAAATGGCAAGATCTCATTTTTATGGCTGAATAATATTCCATTGTGTATATGTGTGTGTGCATGTGTGTGTATGTGTATGTATATAATATATTACATTATATATTATATTATATTATATTATATTACACCTTCTTTATCCAATCTTCTATCAATGGATACTTTGGTTCCTTCCATATCTTGGTGGTTGTAAACAAAGCTGCAATAAACGGAAGGGTGCATATATCTTTTCCTTACAAAGAAATTCTTTAAGAGATGTTTACAGAATCTAGAATCCAGTGAACACAATATTCTCCCTGTTCAGTTGCACATTCTCATTTTTCTCTGTACTTTCATATTCCACCATCCATAATACTTGCTCTAATGTCAAAAATAAAAAATAAAGAATAAAATTTTTAAAAAATAATATCAAAATACTGCTAGACTGCAGGCTCAGTGAGGACAGGGTTCATATCTGGTTTATGTCTGTAGTTTCACTGCTCCATCCCTAATACTTGGCACAGCTCCTAGAAGGAAATACATTTCAGTACTGATGGGAGGAACAACTGAAACAATGAATGAACAATAAATCCTCTACTAGGATACACAGAGATTCTCTCTGTGGAAGGCAGATCTAAAAGGAAAGCCATGACCTGGATCCTTCTCTTCCTCTGAAAGGAAAGAAGTCACTCGTTACACCCTTTTCACTGGGGGCCTGGGTGGCTCAGTAGGTTGAGCATCTGCCTTTGGCTCCAGTCGATAGAGTCCTGCATTGGGTTCCCTGCTCAGTGGGGAATCTGCCTCTCCCTCTGCCCACACCCCCACCCCACTTTCTCCCTCTCTTAAAAATAAACTTTAAATTTAAAAAAAAAAATTTAAATAAACCCCTTTCATTGTAAGCACTTCTAATTCTATAATATATACATATGATAATGATAGAAAAAATATATATATATATATATAATTTCCACTCAGGGAAAAATCTGTATCTCGAGTTTCTGATTTACCCTCAGTGTATTATGACATTCCAACGTGAGCAGAATCCTTCAGGAGAAACCATAGTCTCTGTCCGGAGGAAGGCGAAGGAGACTGATTTCTGGTGACAGAGATTATAAGAGGACAAATGGGTAGACTTGGGAAGTGGGAGAGGAGAAGGGGTCTGAGAAGTGAGAACAGACACACAAGCAGAAAGTGAAACGAAATTCCAAAGGCCAGTGACACCTACCAAAGTGTGCGTCTAGCTGTACCCACAGCCTGCAGCAGGTTAACACCCACACACGCTCTTGACAAATCTCCTGGGATCGTGCCTCCGCTTTAGGGGTGAGTGGTTTAAATTGGTTTAAAAAGGAAATGTCTGAGAGCAGGGACCTCAGCAAAATATCTTGAAGTTAAAAGAGGAAAAAACAATCTTGCCCAGATTTTATTGCAACTATGAAAGTGTGGCTTTTCTTGAGCGTCTCAACCTGCCACGCTCCGGCTGGGTAGATACAAGTAGCGAATGAATGAAATGCGAAGAGAGGAAAGGAGGGCAATCGTAGTCCACGAAGGGGTTGGTCAGCTCCGCGGCCCCCACAACGTCACCAGAGCAGGGGATTGAACGAGACTATAAAGCCCGCGGCCGCGCCTGAACCCCAGTGCTCCAGCCAGTGCCCGGGAGCTAGCGCAGGGGCAACCCCGGACTTTCCCGCTGGTGAGGGCTCTTAACGCCTCCCTTCCCTCGCATCTCATCCATCCTGCATGCTCCAGTCGCAAAGTCCTCGGAGACAAAGTGACTCCCCTGCTATCCATCGCCTGCTGGCTCAAAGCATCTCATAACCAGCAAGGACAGCGGTAGCTTCTCTACCTTGCTTCCAGGCGGGGCTGAGGTCCGCCCTGTAAGCAAAGGGACCAGGCGGGGCTGAGGTCCGCCCATTAGCGAAGGCAGAGAAGAACTTCGAGGGAGTCGGCTCCGGCTGGCTGGCGGCGGTGAGTGGGGAGGTCTGGGGCTGCAGACGCGGCGATGGGCTCTCTCTCCGCAGCCGCGAACTGGACCGACGGTGCGGGCATGGCCAGCGCGAACGCCGGGAACCTGAGTGCGGCGCTCGCCGCAGGAGTGGCGGCAGGGGCGACTGAGACTGAGTGGCTGCACCTCCTAGTCCAAGCCGGCAACCTCTCCGCCTCCTCCTCCGAGCAGAGACTGCCCGCAGCCTCCCCGGAGCCTACGCAGCCCCGAGCCAACCTCACCAACCAGTTCGTGCAGCCGTCCTGGCGCATCGCCCTCTGGTCCCTGGCATACGGCGTGGTGGTGGCCGTGGCGGTCTTCGGGAATCTCATCGTCATCTGGATCATCCTGGCCCACAAGCGCATGAGGACTGTCACCAACTACTTCCTCGTGAACCTGGCTTTCTCTGACGCCTCCATGGCTGCCTTCAACACCTTAGTCAACTTCATCTATGCGCTTCACAGCGAGTGGTACTTCGGTGCCAACTACTGTCGCTTCCAGAACTTCTTTCCTATCACGGCAGTGTTCGCCAGCATCTACTCTATGACGGCCATTGCGGTGGACAGGTGAGGAGAGAATAGGGAGGAAGGGGGGAGAAGGGGGAGAGAAGATCTGAGCAGTGGGATAAGTTCACAAAGTGACATGGTGACAAGATGGATTTGATAAAAGGAAAGGGCCTAGGAAAGAGTTCTTGGAGAAAGGAGGTCACTAACCCATGGGTCCTCCTCCAACTGGCTGAACCAGTTTCTGCTTCTATGGCCTCCCCCACTCTCCACAACCCTTGGTGGCATTAAGGGCATCTAGAGGGATTGAGAAGACCAATGAGGGAGATGGGGAAAATGCGTCATTCCCAGTAAGACAAACTCAGCTAGAAACAATACTAACAGGTTTTCCCAAATGGCCTCAAACAATTGCTGCAAAATTTATGTTCTCTGTAAAACTGTTTTGGTCTTCCTTCTGTTAGTCACTGTTCTGTCTGAGAAATGGACGATGAGTCACCCCCCACCTTTCCCCCTCTCTCTGGTCTGCTGGTCTTCATCCCCACTCACCCTAGTCCCCATCCTTGTTGCAAGGCCAATACTGGCTTGTCCTCCCAGTCATGGAAAATCCATTAGAAGTAACAATGGCCCTCCAAAAGCCCGCTTTATGCTGAAGGTTTCCACAGTATCTTGGGTTAGATTTCACTTTTAATAATCTAAGTAGGCTATGAGCTGGGTACACCTTGTTCCTGGAAGATTACATACAGCCGAATGTTTCAGATGATGGAGGGAAGACCCTAAATAACAAAGCGTTTAAAAATGAGAACTGCCACTTTATAGCTATTTAAGATAATTTTTTAAGAATGTTCCCGCATCTATAGTGGGGATTCTGAAATTCTTAAGCAATTAAAAGAAGCCTGATAAACCTCCAATATTTGTTCCCATATTTAAGTTTTTAAAATTTCTGCTTGCACCTACTTTCTCCTATTAAACATTGTGAAATATGCATACTTGAATTAAGACAATGGTAACCCCCCACTTATAATTGAAAGCTGGTTACACTTTAATCAATATTATTCTAAAAACCAACAACACTGGTTCATTCATCTTTGTTCTGTGACTGGCAGGCAGCTGCATGGGGGACAGAGGAGGGAGAATGTGATTTTAGCTTCATGTCTCAATGTTCTTTTTTTAAAATATTTTATTTATTTACTTGACAGATCACAAGTAGGCAGAGAGGCAGGCAGAAAGAGAGAGGGGAGGAATCAGGTTCCCTGCTGAGCAGAGAGCCTGCTTCGGGACTTGATCCCAGGACCCTGAGAACATGACCTGAGCCGAAGGCAGAGGCTTTAACCCACTGAGCCACCCAGGCAACCCTCAAGTCTCAACATTCTTAACCATGAAAAGAAAAGAACACTTTTTTCGGTATTAACAACCTGTTTCAAAATAAAATGAGACTTAATATTCTTACTACATTAAGACACCATTAAGAAATAAAATAAGGAAAAAAAAGTTCTTTCCATAAATCCATCCTCTGTATTTACTATTTTGAAATAGCACAGAGATATTGAAACATAAATCTGTAAGAACTACTGTCACATGCTAGATTCAGAGGATTAAATTGAAGGAGCAGTGGTTAGTAGCCACTAACTAGGATAAATAAGCACAAAATCACATTTTTAAAAAGCCTCTGAAACTGTTGATTTTCCCTTTATCTATGATCTTCCACGTGTATCTAACCCCTTCACTTTTGTAGAGACAGCAGTGAGTACAAAGAAGGAACAAAATCAACTCCAATTGAGGAATAGAGGAAACTGCCTCTAATCTTGCTCTAAGATAGAAACAAACGTTCCTTTAGTTTGAGCATCTTCCTTTTTTGTTTGTTTGTTTCCTTTTCTTTTTTTTTTTTATTACTTGTAAACGTGTGATTTTTTTAATGGGATCAGCAGGGGAATTAGCATATCATGTTATAAAATTCTCACAGTCTTCTTGAAATAGTAATAATTCCTTATGAAGTTTAATGAAAATTTAGTGTGTGTGAAATTGGTTTTTCAATTCTGATAAGCGAAAAGGGTTATTTTTCCAGTTACTTTCTGCCAACAGTTAGACAAAATCCGAAGTGGTCTTAGAGTTATTTTAATTGATACAGTAAGACTTGACTCAATATTTAACCCAGATGATGAATGGGATGAGGTTAGCCTAAGAGTATTTGTTCTCTCTTTGCTTTACTTACAAAATAGTAACTAAAACTATGTTTGGGGAAATATTACCTCTAGGAAATTTACAGTGAATCTTTGGCTTTTTCTATAATTTGTAGTTGTTATCCAAAGATTTGAAAATGTCCCATTTGGGGACGCCCGGTGGCTCAGTCAGTTAAGCTGCTGCCTTCGGCTCAGGGCATGATTCTAGGGTCCTGGGCTCAAGTCCCGCACTGCTCTTCTTGCCTGGCAGGGAGGCAGGGAAACTGCTTCTCTCTCCACCTCTGCCTGCCTCTCTGCCTGCTTGTGCACTCAGTTTCTCTCTTTCTCTCTCACTCTCTGACAAATAAATAAATAAATAAATAAATAAAATCTTTAAAAATAAAAAAAAAAGTCCCATTATATCTACTAAAATTACTGCTGTAGTGAGCTCTGAACATCGTTAAAATTATGGGGCAAAGTCTTATAAAATTAATTAGGTGCACATAGTGAAAGCAATGTATATATACACTAATTGAATGGGTGAAACATACGATCATCATAGCATAAGATATAATCCCAAGTGGCTCTTCTATGACTAGCGGAACTCCGGTTGATACCAAGGTTACATTCACGGTAATGGGAAAAACTATGTTGAAAATGAGTTTGCAGAATATTTAGCAGACCTAGTGTAAAGACAAAACCTTAAAACATAACACATTTCGCACACTAATTAGAAGATACAGTACTAATATAAAAAGAACAAAAATCATAAACTTGCTGTTTAGAGAAAAAAATGTCAAACAAGTATAAAATTATGGGCTCCTTACATTCCATATCTTCATTTCTTCACCTGCTGTTTGTTCCTCAAGCTACTCAAATCTGAATTTGTCTCCCAACACCCTCTCTGAAGATAAGCTGTGAAACCCAGTGGGCATTTCACTTCCTTGACTTTTCAGTAGCATTTCTACCAGGTGCCTCACTGCTTCTTGCCTTCTAACTTTTCATGTACCCATGGTCTGTCTTCCATGCTTGTATTTCTCATTCTCCGCCTCTTTGTAGTGGTTAAATACATAGGTTCCTGAATGCTAAATCCCTGGCCTGAGTTTGTCCTAACTTTGTTCTCTCTCCCCAAGTAAGTTCATGGCCTTATTTTTCACTTTTGAATAAAGAACTCCCATTTTTTTTTTCTATCACCTAATTGGTTTTCTTCTGGATTGTAAAGATACATAATAATCTGTGCAGTAGGCAAATATAAATGAATAAAAAATTAAGACTGGAGAAAATACGGACAAAATTACAGGGAAGTTATAGCATAGATATTCCCAAAGTTAGAGTTCTAATCATTAATGAAAGTTGAACTTCAGATATATCTGTGACTCTTGATATACCTGCAAAAAAATACAATTAGTAATAGAGCATACAGTATCCATAAAAGCAATACATACACATTCTTTAAGAGGTAAGGAATTTCTGGTATTGAGTTTTAAGAATTTTTTCATATGAGTAATAATGGGGTTACTGTCCTCAGACACTACTGTCACAAATGCAAAAGCTGGTCTCCTACAGGTGTTTGTTAAGTGTTCTTCTGGCTGAGCTAAAGGCAGGTGCCAAAGCAGCATTCAGTGAATGATGTCCTCAGGGTACCAATTCTCTAGTTGAACAGTTTCCAGATGTTCAGGTTTGATGCACTGAAGAAATTACAAGAAGGGATAAAGTACATTTCCCCCGGGAGTATTTTTCTCGCCTAAACTTTGGATATAGCTTGAGAAGCAGATGACTCAAAGTTGTGAAGTTAGGGCTAAAGCTCTCCAAATCATCTTCCTTCCAGCTCCCAATCTCTGATCCTTATTTATCCTCTATACCAGTCTTTTATTCCAATGTATTATTTCACTCATTCATTTTGAGAGGCACATATGCACAGTGCAAAAAATAAAAAGTATAAATGTTAGGAAGTTAAATTTATGTATGCTTATCCTACTCCCCAAATATAGCCAACCTATGATCTTCATATTCACATTTCAACTCTCATCTGTGATTTATTTATATAATCTCACATATATGTATGATATATATACACACATACTCTGGTGCATAGTACTTTATATACACACATAAACACAGATGTCCTTCCTTTAATTACTATAGTGTCACATTATTGTCATTTTTAATTTAATAAACTGTTCTTAAACTTTTATCAAAAAATTATAAACATTGAACATTATTTACTGTAACTCAAGTGACCTAATCTCTGTTCCAGGCACTCCTATCTTCCTTTGAGTCCCGGAATGTATGGTGCTTTATTTTTGCCACAAAGTCTTTGAACACAATTTACCATTTCAAATTTCCTTCTGTCAACTCCTCATTAGTTACATGTACTTACATGTACTTTTAAATAATAGCTAAAATGTCACATTCACAGGGAAACCTTCCGTGAGCCTCCCAATTTAATTAGATGTCCCTTTATAGACTCTCTCAGCATATGTCAGTCATGGCAGCTTTCATATATTAAATTTCATATTTATTTTTAAGAATATTTGATTAATAATTTCCTCTAATAGACTTGTAAACACCATGAAGACAGGTTCAATTTTGACTTTAGTGCTTTTTGTATCCTTACGTTTATGACAGTGGTTTGCACACGGTAAGCACAGAATCTAGACTGCGGAGTAAATGAATCATAAGAGTAATTAAACAAATGAAAATCAAAGTTTATTCAATCTCATTATAAAGGAGATTCAACTCCATCTATTAAAATTGGCAGAGATTTGTAAGTATGTAATGAACAGGGCATTTTTTACATATAGTTTTAGATTGAGCCATATGCAATTGTCATTTTTTACAGTATTTTTTTATTGTATTTATTTATTTGCGAGGGCCAGGAGCACAGAGGGAGAAGCAGACTCCCCA